GCTCCCAGCTGCAGCGGGAGCTCCCAGGAAGGGAGGGGGGCAGCCCCTCACCCAGCCTGGGCGCTGACTCTCGCTGGAGCAGTTTGCACTGTGCTGTAAACCTGCCCCGAGCAGCAGCAAGGGCAGGTGCCCCGGGCAGGACCAGCCCGGTGCCGGATGGAGCTGGACACTCTGAGGTGCTTGCAGCCTCTGTCCCCCCGGCCCTGCTTGCAGAGAGGCCCTCCGGGCCTCAGCAGAGCCTCCCCCAGCTCCCACAGGGCTGGCGGGGCAGACGGACCACCAGCAGGTGTGGAACCTGCCATGTCCCGGCAGCCTCCGTGCCCCGGAGAAGGATCCCAGCTGTCCGCTAATGTGCCAGAACCAATGCATTTATCACAGCCCTGAATGGGGCATTCACACGCCGGAGGGCAAACTGCCCAGGCAGCCCACAGGGGCCACCGGCCCCGGCTCCCCGACGGCCAGCTCTGGGGAAAGAGCGCGAACCGGAGCCCAGGTGCAGGGCCGCCCGGCAGCCTCCGTGCCCCGGAGAAGGATCCCAGCTGTCCGCTAATGTGCCAGAACCAATGCATTTATCACAGCCCTGAATGGGGCATTCACACGCCGGAGGGCAAACTGCCCAGGCAGCCCACAGGGGCCACCGGCCCCGGCTCCCCGACGGCCAGCTCTGGGGAAAGAGCGCGAACCGGAGCCCAGGTGCAGGGCCGGGCCGGAGCGCTGTCGTCGGCGCCCTGGCCGCTCTGCCACCCACGGGATGCTCCATGCTTGAGTCTGGCAGCACCCACTGTCCAGCGGGTGCAGTTTGCAGCGCACAGCCCCGCTCACACTCTTGGCATTGCCGTTTTCACGGTTTTCCTGGAAAACAGAACCGCAGCCAATGACGAAGGCTGAGGATGAGGTGGGTTCGTTACTCATTAGCACCAGGGGCAGGGGTAAAAAGGAGGCCGTGAGCAGGGAGCTGCCGCCCCCCTCAACATGGCACTGCAGTCTCCATGGGGCCTGCTGGCTTTGCCAGGGTCCTGCCGGCTCCGTGGGAATGAGGGGGCAGCCAGCACACAGTGGGCACCTCATTGAAGGGAGGCGGGATGTGATCCCTACGTTGGAGCACGGGCGCACAGAGTCGGCTGGGCACGGGGCAGCTTGGGCCACGCCAGGCAGGGGAGGCCGCCCGCAGCCCCAGAACAACTGCAGGCGTTTTTTATTGTTTAACATTCCTGGTATTTTCTGTCAGGGCTGAACCAATTGTCCTTAATCCGCCAGGCTCTGCTGGCCAAACAAGTGTGGCTGAGCCACCGGCATCCTGTCCCCACGAACAGGCCCCTTTTGTGAGGGGGATTTAGCGGGGAGCCCAGTAAATCCCGCTGGTTTCCTGAGGCCGCGTTCCCACCGCCCTCCCCCAGCCGCCTGCCCCGCAG